AGGTGGAAAGAAAGCACCTTTAACTTTAAATGTGTTCTCCAAACCCCCTGCCATGCCAGCCAGATTGGCTTGTAGAAGGTATTTAAAGAGACAAATGCCTTCTCCAAGCCAGCTGGGGGGGGGGATGTTTAGCAGGATGTGTGCATGTGTGTTTGAGAATGCATTTAAAGTTAAAGTTGCTTTCTTTCTCTGCTCCCCCCCCACACACACACACCTCAAGCCTACCCAGGGAGGGGAACACTGGCTGGGGAAGGGAAGACCGATTGGGGAGGCATGCCTCCCATTCACTTCCCCAGCCGCCCTGCCAGGAGCCACACAATATGTGTGAAAGAGCCACAAGCGGCTCCCGTGCTACAGTTTGGCCAACCCTGGTAGTCCGATATTCTTCTAACCATAGCACCACACTGGTTCTTAGTGTGCTGTTATTTCATGATATTTAAATGCTGCCTTTCTTCCACTCAAGGTGGAATACACAGCATTCTCAAGCAGTCTCCCTCTCCAGTCCTCAGCCAGATGTGCTCAGGTGACTCAGCATTTCTACATCATGTGCCTTCAACCATACTCTGGGGTTCTTAGACTATGCAAAGCTTTATATACAAAACAGTAATCCTTACAACAGCCCTGTAAGAGAGGTCTGTATTATCTTCTCTACATTTACAGGCATGGGGGCTGAAACAGTAAATTGCCTAAGGTCACTTAATGAGTCTATGACAGAGGGAAGTATGTAAATATTTTTTCCATTATCCATTAGATTATTTCCAATATTTTTTTCTCCTACCCAGGCAATGAACAAATCTAGACGTAATTCAGTTTGGCTAGGTATCTGTATTGTACATTCCAATGATTTCCTAGTTTTCCTGACCTGTATCACCTCAGGCCAAAGCGGTGTGTGTGTGTGTGATATTTTCAAACATTAAGGAACAGAGTTCAGCTTGAAAGTTCACCAGTGAACTGGTATCATATGAAATAAATTGGTGTAATGTGGAAGTGTTAGTAAAATAGCTGTTAAATATTAGGATGTTTACGCTAACAAAATTCGCTTTAATCATAGTCTCACACTGGATTACTTTCTAAGGGGCTCATTTTTAACCATATTTCTTTTTCTTAAATTGATTGTGATAGGCAGACAGATAACTTGTTCACTGGACGACTATGAGCCGACTATAACCCTTTAGTATACTTTACCTCATGGGATTGCTGTGAGGATAAAATAGGGACAGGAAGTGTTGTGTGTCCCCCCTGAACTCTGTGGGGAAAATATAACAGAATAAATACATTTTATTTATGAATTTAAACCACTTATCTTCTGCCTTATTCCCTTAGACTCAAGGCAGCTAATACAACCACAAATTGCAACAACAGAAAAACATACAAATCAATTAATATTTTTCTATGTGTCAAATTGTAATGGCTTTTGGCCACTGACAATAAATTTTATCATATCGTATTAATAAAATTAAAAGCATACAGACTAGAAAAAGCAGCCAGATGCCCTCTGACTTAGAACCACCTTGCACACCATCCTAAATGCAGCCACTGAAAGCGTTCCTCATGTCCATTCCTATAGACTGTTCCAGGGGACAGGAACTACCACAGAGAGTGCATAATGTAGCTGTTACTGTACAGACAAGTCTAAGAGAGGGCACCACAAGGAGGATGCTGTCTGATGTGCATAATTGGCACATTGGAGTATACTGGGAGACATGGTTTGATAAGGTTTCTAAGCTGTGCAGGACTTTAAAGGTAATAACCAGCAGCCTGAATTGGACCTGGAAACAAATAGGTAATCAGTGCAATTGATGCAGCATTGGAGTTGTTTGTTCTGAGCGGTGAACCCCAAATGGGCATTTCGCTGCTGTATTTTGTATCAGTTGAAACTTCCAAGACATCCTCAAAGGCAGGCCCTCATAAATATGAGGCTAGAATACTGGACTAGGATCTTGGAAACCCACGTTTGGATCCCCACTCCACCATGGAAGCTTGCTCGGTAACGTTGGGCTAGTCACACACTTTCACCCTAAGCTATCTCACTGGGTTGTTGTGTGAGGGCAGAATGATGTAAGTTGCTTCGGGTCCTCATTGAGGAGAAAGGCAGGGTAGGTATTAAATGAATAAATAAATAAATACTGCATGTATCCTAAATGCAGGTCCTTGTAAGCACATTTCTTTTACATCAGTGGGACTCCTAAATAAGGCTGAACACATTTTCTTGGTAAGAAGCATCTGGGGTGTTCTGAGTAAATGTAGTTGCGATCAGAAGAGATATATATTGAATTTGTTTAGGACTGGAGTATAATAGAACATAATGCTTTAGCAAATGAAATGACTGCCCTCTGGTGGAAAATAAGGAAGCAACTCATTTGAAATACAGTGACTCTTCCAGTCCTTTCACACAGGATGACCTGCCTCTTATTTTAATACACTATAGCACAGATTCATAAAATGTCTAGAGGACATTAAGCAAAAATAATTACAGTGGCTTGGATGCAGTGGAAATATTTCTGTGGACGGAAGGGAGAAGTTATTTTTGCCAGTTCCCCTCTCCTGCTCCAGACCTCTGATTCCCACCCCCATGCTGCTTGGGGGGTGCTTCCCCCCAAGAACAGCATTTCAGGGGGCATTGGGGGGCTGCAACAGGAAAGAGGCAAAGAAGTCCTACACCATGGGTAGAAATTAGTTCCATCTATAGAAATTTCCACTGAAGCCAATTGAATATAAATGAACCACAACTGTAGCACTTGTGGTCAAGATAATTCTTATAATAATGGATTCACAATGTTAATTTTCACTCAACAACAGAAAACAAAGTGGTAACAAACTAATGATCATTTTGGTTGCATGATTTAGGTTGGATCAGGACTCCCTCAAACTTTTATTATACGAACAACATATGCATCACCACCTTGGCCATTGAATGAATACTCCACATTACCTTAAGCATGCGAGATGGTCACATTTACAATAACTCTTCCTCATGCTTGGCTTTATCATCATCCTTCACTTCCATGAAGAGTTCTGTGCATCAGCAAAAGCCACATATAATGACATCTGCCACAGACATGGAAACTCTCCTTATGATGTCTGCCACCTGAAATGACTCTGCCCATTCTCCCTTGATGTCTCTTGTGCCCCCAGAACACCTAAACAGCACAATTTCTTCCTTCTAATCTCTTCAAAGACCCACCTTTTCTGTAAACACTCTGAACCCATTCTTAGTTCTGGTATCCAGAAGAATGTGTGTTTTCATTTCATTATAATCATCCCTTGTAAGTAATCCTTGTTTCTTCTTTTTGCTGCCTCCATGAAAAATAGATTACAATGCTGGACACAGAGGAAGAGCTGCCTAATGACAACAGCTTAAGTAAAACAAGGAGTTAGCCACACTGGGCAAGAAGCACAAAAACATGAGTCTCATTATGGCACCTGGTCAGCCTTAGGCTTGATTTAAAGGTGATTGAAGTGGCAGAATAAACCATACCACTTCAAAATGCAGGGAATTTTTTTAAGTTCCCCATCTATATGTCTGATTCCCAATTGTGCCCCCTATGTGCAGATACTTATTCCCACAGATAGGGGGCATATGGAGGGTCAACAGAAATTCCTGCACACTTGGGGTCCTCCTCCAGCTGACCAGGTGGTGAAGCTGCAGGGGAAGGGGGACTGAGGAAGTTGCTTAAATGGCTGTTGAAGGGGGGGGGGGAGTGGCAGCCAATGCAGCAGGGAAGAGGCCAATCAGTCAGAAAGAGAATGATGGGGTAAGGGAGGCAGAAAAAGAGGAGTGATAGCAGATATGGGTGAGAAAGACAGAAAGTAAGAAAGGGGATGGGGGGGGGGAGAGACATGGAGAGAAATGGAGGGAGAGAGGAGGAATCAAAGATGGTGGGAACAAGACAGCTGCTTCTGTAAGTTTCTTGCGGGTCTGTCCCCCCACCTGTGGGGGGAAGTAGATGGGAGGCCAGGAGAGTGACAGGGGCAGAGTGATGGTGTGGGGGCAGAAAGGAAGTGAGAGTAAGAAAAGGGATGGCAAGAAGGAGTGGGAGAGAAGTAGGGAGAGAGGGGAAGAAGCAGATGTGGGGGGAATGGGATGCCTGCTCTCGCAAGTTTCTTGCAGGTTCCCACTTGTCACGAATAATTCCGTTTTTGTCACTTATTCCCCCCACCCCAGGAGCCACAAGATAATGACCAGCGTCACCAGTACCACACCAGCACTGGGCTTTTACGTTGGAGCTGTCCGCAGGATACAAAGGGCGACACTAAAACCTTTCTTGCTGGTGTGCTTAATTATAACTAATTTACAGGGAATGCTTATATGGGGAAACTGTTAAAAAAATGCAGCACTCCCCACCTGTAGTCTTGAAGGGGTGCCATTCATACGGGGGGGGGCCCCTACAGATTAACGCCGCTCCTCCACTGGTATTGTCACCACAGAAATGGGAAAGACGCTCGGAGGGAGAGAAAAAGCAGGAGGAGCTTCTCAAGGATGGTGGTCGGCGTAGGCCGGGGCGCCAAGCCAGGCCAGCCCGCTGGAAAGGAGCGAACAAGCTGATAAGAAACGCTCCGGCCGCAGAGGGAGGTCCGCCTGTAAGTGGAAGGCGGTCCCGCCATACGATAAATAATAATAATGCCTGTAAGTGGAAGGCGGGTCCCTGGCGAGGCAGCCACTAAAGGGCGGCCTCTTGGCGGCGCTAGTAGAAGGCGGCACCTCCTCCTCTTCCCTTCGACGTCTTCCACCGCCGCCAAGGCGAAGGGGGAAGAGTGGATTGCAAGGCCCGGGCCTGACCGGAGTCTCCTCCTCTTCGAGGGGAGGGGGGTTGGCTGGGCTAAAATGGCTGCTCCCGGCTTGGGGAAAAGTCCGGAGCAGCCGCAGCAACCGCCGCCGCTGTTGCCTCTGCTTCCCCCGCTTTCCATGGATTTGCTGCGAGTGAGTAAACAAGAAGGAGCGAAAGGGGCAGGCAAGCGTTGTTTACGCGGAAGCAAACCGCGCCGAATCGAATAAGACTTGCTTCCGAGTGGGCGAGTTTTGGATTGCAAGGGAAGGTTTTTGCTCGGTTCCTGTGCAGTCCCGTGGCTTGGGCGTGGATGGTGGGCAAGGAGAAGCGAAGGGAGCCCGTGGTGGGTGGGTGGGTGGGAGCCCCGCTGATGGGGGGACGGGACTGAAGGGTCCTTGAGAAAATATCCGGGAGAGGGGTGAAGTGTTGAAGATGCGGTCGGAGTTGTACGCGTAAATTGGATGAGAGTAAATAACAAGGAGGAGCTTGCAGCCACGTCTTTGGCAGGATGAATGGAGGGAGGGGGGATTGGGAGGGGTTCGTCCAATGTTTCCCGCCTTTTTTTTTTCAAGTGAAGCATTACTGTCGTCAGGCTGTTGTCTAGGGGTTATGATCGGGTTGCGTTGTATCTGGTAGGTGACCCTAAGAGAGAGTGACTGGACCAAAGTCACTCTGCAGGCTTCATAGCAGAGTGGGATTTGACCCTGGATCTGCGGACCCCAAATGCAGCTGTGTAACTGCTACTGTGTCTCTCTGTGGTTCCCTCTTTTCTGTGCTGGATAGAAAGGACAGGCCTTTTCATGGCCAGGATGAGGGTGTGTGATAATCTCCAAAACAAGTGCTACTGGACTTAAATGTTAATCTCCAAAACAGGCGATTGAAAACTCCTAGTGGTGTTTACTGGCTCATTGTCATGTGTATAGCTCTCTCTCTTGGCATAAGAAGGCCTCAGCCTCTATGCTGTTGTTGGCCACCAGAGGAACTGGTTAGCTACTGTGTGAGACAGGATGCAGTGGTCCATCTAGTCAGGCATCCTGTCTCACACAGTAGTTAACCAGTTCCTCTGGCGGCCAACAACAACATAGAGGCTGAGGCCTTCCCCTGACGTTTGGTCCTGGCACTGGGATTCAGAGGTTGACTGCCTGTGAATGTGGAGGTTCCCTTTAGTCGCCACAGCTAGTAGCCACTGGTAGACCTATCCTCCATGAATCTATCTGATCCTCATTTAAATCTGGCTGTCCTGAATCTACTGCCCATCAGCTTCATTTGATGCCCTCAAGTTCTAGTATTTTAAGAGAGGGAGAAACGTTTCTCTTTGTCAACCCTTTCAACCCCATGCATAATTTTATAAACTTCTATCATGCCAAACCCCACCCCCAGTTGTTTCTTTTCTAAACTGAAAAATCCCAGAATCTTCAGCCTTTCCTCCTAGAGAAGGTGTGCCAACTAGCAGGGGTCTTATGTTCTTATGTTGTACGCCTTCCATTAAGCCTATGTTTTCTAGAGAAATATTGTCATTAATTTGTAGCCTGGCTTTCTCACTGAGACTCCCGGCAGATTCCAAAATATGAAAAGCAATTCATTCAAACAGCAAAGATCCTCAGTAAACAATGCAGTAGGACTAGGATTACAGAACTAAAAAACAATGTAAACAAAATTGTATAAGGTAGCAAAAACTGGTTGACGCATGTCACATGGTAATGAAGAAAGTGAGTTACAAAGGTAGAGGACTTTGTAGTAAAAAGGGAGGCGATACATACAATAAACATTGCAACAGACTGCAATACCATCCCTTATAGGAATGAGCTCCTGTGCCGTTCCATTATACTGCTGTTCTAATCCCTTCATAAAAGACCCTCCCAAATGTTTCTGTTCTGCATGTTATGTGAAATGATAGAGCGTGGGGGTGGTGGTCCTTCCTGTCCACCTCAGGCAGCTTGTTCCACAAGGTGGGAACCACCACAGGGAATACGCATGAATGGCCAGTTGGCAGGCAATCTTACTCATTTGCACCTTCAGAAGGCTTTGCTCAGGTAAGCAAAGGTGTCACAGCAGAGGATGGTAGAGGTGGTCTTGCGGGTATGTGGGTCCAAGGCCATTATATAAACAAAGACATTTTCGGGAATACTAACTGACCTATTTTTTCTTTTCCCATGAGATGGAGAATGGGCCATGTCATTGTTGTATGTGACCTGTGTGCTTCTGAACACACCAACAGTCCTCTTCTGCTGTGGATCTCATTGATAGTTGGTAGTGGTATGCACGCTGTATTTCAGGAACACTCCTCATTCGTACTGAGGTAGTAGTCTCCATAGCTATTTGTATTTCTTGAATCCATTTTTTTTTAAATCATAGCTTTAAGGGAGCAGCCCCTCCCTTGTCACTCTGGCGATACTAGCATTGATTTAGTTTTGGTAGCTTGGTAAGTCTGTAAATGTAATAGAGGCGAGGAATAACCCAAGTGGTGTGTGGGGGGGTGTCTTTGATATAGTGAACTAGACTAGACCAAGATGTCCTGCAGCTTTTTGGGGGGGCACAGGCACACAACACACACACAAAATGCAAAAATGCAGCTTTTTTGGGGGGGTATTTTTGCATTTTGTGTGTGTGTTGTGTGCCCATGCCTGGAAATGGCGACGTCTGGCAACTCCTACTGGAGCATGGAGGTCGTTCAGAGAAGTGGCTTGGTAGCCTGCCTTTGGCCTCCTGTCCCTGGTATTCTCTGGAGGGTCTCCCATCCAAATACTTGCCAGGGTCAGCCCTGCTTAGTTTCCGAGATCTGTTGAGATCAGGCTTGCCTGGGTTATCCAGGTCAGGGCCAAAGCTCCCTCTAAGCTGTGGAGTCTTGTGACCAAAAATTCTACTTTGTAAGCTACTGGCGTTAAAGTTGTGAGCGAGTGATTTGGCTACTGCATGAATTATTTGCTCTGCAGCCATCCTTCCTGAGCTAAGACAAAAATGTGTGAGTTGGAGGCTAAAAAACTGAGCTAGCTCACACTAACTCAGCTTAGAGGGAACACTGGTCAGGGCATGTCCTGCTGCCTTTAGTTTACTCAGTTTCACTCCTTATGGGTAAATACAATGTACCTGAAATTATGTGTGGAAGCAGGTGTTACTTTAAAAGGATCGCATGAATGCTTTTGAAGATAAAGTGAGTATACATGGGTATTTCACTGAATTAATAATTTTAAAAACGACTAGTTAATAGAACCCATGACAGCAGTATGAGCAGATCTTGCAGCAGTACTGGTCGCTTTCAATGGAGCCAGTTTCAGCTTTGATGAGATCTGCTTGAAGTGCTACAAAAGGTCGCCAACGTACAGTGCGGTCAGACAGCGTGCTGGGAGCGGTTTAAATTGCTCCGGCCCCGATGCGGGTTTTTTTAACCTGGAGAATCGTGATCACACTCACCACCTTGATCCAGATCGCTGCGCAGCCACATCACTCCCCAACGTCCACACACGGGAGCATGCGTCGGTGTTGTTTTTCTTTCTCAGTTTGGGCATGCGCACAGGCAGCCATCTGTAGAACTAAAATTTTTGCACGTGCGCAGAACAGCGATTTTCACTTTAACCCGACTGCTGTAACACTTCCCTTTAAACTTTAAAGGAACGCTTCCCTTTAAATGTTTACCTCGAAAATGGCCTCCGTGAGATCCCAAACTCGTCTAAACGCTAAAACTAGGCACTGTTTAAATATTGTTTTTAATAACGCGGTGGCGGAGTTCTGCCTATTCGCACCCTGCCAACGCTTGAAAGAAAATGGCGCGGGCGAAAAGTGGAAGCCTCAGGCAGCTTTCGAGCACGGAAGTGGCTTGGCACCGGAGGCGTGATCACAGGGGGAAAGTGCGGCTGGAACCGGAGAATCAGGAAAACACCACTTAGGGACCTGATATCAAAATACTCCGCGTTAAAGCAGTTTTGAGTCGGAAAGCAATGGCTGGGGATGGGAGGCAGATGTTGACTGTGTGATCGCGCAGATAAAATCCGTTTCTGAGGCGGGCTGAAAGCGGACTAAACGGCCCGTCTGACCACACCCTGAGTTGACCAGAGGTGGTTGTAGGCAGTGATCGCTCTGCTTCATTGCTTTCAATGCAGGAACTAATTTATGAAGCAGATGTCTGCAGGAACTAATTTATGAAGCAGATGTCTGCAGCCCACAATAATTGGAGACATCAGCCTGAGCAGGTGCTTGGCGTAATTTGAGTTATAGTGATCACTGGTGGAACCAGTGTTGCTGGTATAAACTGCTTGACAGTGTCTTTTTCAGGAAGTATTCCCTGTTTGTATGTTACTCATGTTGAGGAAGTAGTGCTTTGTGAAGAGTACAGAGTATTGTCACCTCTATTGGCTTCTTTTTGTCAGTAATGAATTAAGAGGATGGCCAAGGGTGTATTGCACAGAAAGATTAAAAATGGCACCAAAAGTTAATGTAGGTATTTACAGTACAGCACTTTTTTCTTTTTTAAAAAGTCGCAGGAGACAAAAAACGTCTCTTAGAGCACCCTGGCAAATATATCTAAATGTGAGTGTTCAGTTGTGTATCTCTTGGCTGCTAGAAGGGTAGATGCTAACTTTTTGTTTAATTTGAATGTTTCCTTTTCTCATCAGCCACTTCATTGTTTTGTACTTGCTTCACATAGGCAGTTTGAAGTAGCTTTATAGTGAAGGTTATGGTGTTGATGAGGAGAGTTTTTGGGGAGTGATAAAAGCTGAAATTACCTTTGTCCACTCTGTCTCTGCTCAGTTTCCTCTGCTGTCACCAAAAGCGTTCTATCAATGGTCAGTTATGACCTGATTCAAGCTGTGCAATAGATAAGCTTGAAAAGGAGCAATGAATGTGCTGGAACTTCTAGTGTGGCAGTGGTTTTGTGTTCAGTGATCCTGATGAATGGCCTAGGAGCATGTGTTGTTCACAGCCATTCATTTGGCATTAATGACTGGAAGACAGCCTGATACAAGCTTTTTTGTACTGGGGTATTGTAACAAAACTTAGAGGCTGTGTCCATTAGCTATGATAGATAAGTGGAACCTCCCTGTTAGAATGCAGTATACCTCTGTATATCGATGCTAGAGGAAGACAAGAGAGAAAGGTTTATTTTATTTATTTATTTAAAACATTTATTAGCTGCCTTTCTTCCTTACAGAGATTAGGGCAGTTTACAGCATAGCTAAAACACATAAAATAAAATACATTAAAAACATAAAAAAAACAAGTTTGAAAGACACTATTCAGGACTACTAATGAACTTAACCAAATGCAGTCATAGATAAAACTGTCTTCAACTGCCTGCGAAAGATTGAAAGTGAAGGGGCCAGGCACACCTCCCTCAGTTGGTTGTTCCATAATTATCATGGGGCAGCCACTGAAAAGGCCTTCTGTGATGTACCCACCAAACAAGCTTCTTTGATGGGACAGTCAAAAGGGCCTCTCCTGGTGATCTTAATTCCCAGGCAGACATATAAGGGAAAATAGGGTCCTTCAGATACCCTTGTCCCAAGCCATATAGGGCTTTACAGGTCAAAATGAACACATTGAATTGAGCTCAGGAGTGGATCAGTAGCCAGTGTAATTGCTGTAATATCTGAGTCACATGGTCCCAATACTTGGCCTTTAAAAAAAAAAACTTTTATTTTTAATGTTTTATAACAATATAACAAAACAGCATGAACAATAGAGATACATGGGAAGATTGCAAAGCAGAGAGTCTTTTTGCTTATATAAAATTGAACTATATCGCAATTCAAACCCAGTAGCTGGCCTTAACCTATGATCTAGCCACAGTGTTCTGCACTAGCTGCAGCCTCCAAACACTCTCCAAAGGTAGCCCCAAGTAGAGCACATTATAGTAGTCCAGTCTAGACGTAACTAAGGTATGGATCACTATGGCTAGATCTGACTGATGGAGGAACAGATGCAGTTGACGCACTAACTGAAGCTGGGCAAAAGCACTCCGATGCATCATAGCCACCTGGTTTTCTGAGGTGATTGCCATGTCAAGTAGCACTCCTAAGCCACAAACCTGGCTTTTCAAGGGGAGTATAACCCCATCAAAGGCAGGAGAGATCTCAAGTTCCAGATATGTCTTTCTACTAACCCAGAATACCTCATTTTATGTGGATTAAGTTTCAGTTTGTTCACCCTCATCCAGCCTATTACTGACTCCAAGCACCGGTTCAGAACATCAACAGCATTCTTGGAAGTAGGTGGGAAAGAAAGGTAGATCTGGGTATTATCCACATATTGCTGGCACCACAGCCCAGATCTCCTGAGGACCTCTCCCAGGGGCTTCACATAAATATTATGTAGCATGCAGGATAAAATCAAACCTGTGGAACCCCACAGGTCAACAGCCATGGGGCAGAGCAGGAATCCCTCAGCACCACCCTCTGAGACCACTCCTCCCCCAGATAGGATTCAAACCACCTTAACGCAGTGCCCCCCCCCCAGTCCCAGTGTGAGAGGCAGCTCAGTAGGATACTATGGTCAGTAGTATTGAAGGCTATTGAAAGCTCCAACAGAACCAGCAGGGTCACATTCATCCCTGTCTAGTTCTTGGTAGACCTCACCAACCAAGGTGATCAAAGCAGTCTCTGTTCCAAACGCCAGCCTGGAGTCAGATTGAAATGGGTCAGAAAAATCTATCTCTTTCGAGAGCCCCTGGGGCTGAGAAGCAGCCATCCACTCAAGTACCTTGTCCAAGAATAGAAGATCGGAGACTGGCTGTAAATTCTCCAACATAGTAGGGTTTTAGGAAAGGATTTCTTCTAAACATGTCTAACCACTGCCACTTTGAGCATGGGTAGTACAACTCGTGCCCTCGAGGAAGCATTTACCTCTCCCCGTATTCACTCAGCAAGCTTTTACCAGCTAGGAAGGGCAAGGATCAAGGACACATGGTAGGTCTCACCTCTACAAAGACCTTGTTTACATCCTTGGGCTCCAGAAGCTGAAAGGTATCCATATAAATTGGACAAGCAGGTACCAAAGGTACATTGTCTGAATATGCATCCATGGCAGTATCTAAGCCAGAGTGGAGATCTGGGTGATTTTCTTCCAGGTAAGTCAGAGGTGTTGAACTCATTTGTTACAAGGGCTGGATGTGACATAAATGTCACTTTGTCGGGCCAGGCCGTGTGTGCCATAAAATGTAACACAAGGTACCAGAGATATAAACTTTATAAAGATGATTTCAGATGCCGAATGGCACTAGCAGGTGTGATTGGATTAGATGTGATGTGCAGAGGGGTAGTAGTGGTGGAGATATCACCATTGGTAATGAGACAGGAAACATAGGTCTCAATTTGGTACAGGAGGATTCCGTCCAGGAGGATGCAAAGAATAAATGGAAATAAGTCTGAAAAAGTGAGCAGTAACTCACAAAAGCACATACCGTGCCACAAATTTTGTTCGTCTTTAAGGTGCTACTGGATTCTTACTCTTTCTACTGCTATTAGAAACCACAGCATTCAAAAACCAATAGGGGCATATTTTAACCTTCTAGGACATTCAGTTCTCTGACAAAGAAATTTCAGAAGGAGATTAGAGAGACTGCTGAATTGTAACTGATAATGATGCACAAGACAATGCACCCTCCTGGACTGAATTGAGACCTAGGTTTCTTCTCTCATTACCAATGCCTGCTATTGTCATTTGGTGTCTGAAATCTTTCCAAGATATAAGGACAGATGGACTCACATTCTAGCTGTGTCTGAAGAAGTGAGCAGTGACTCATGAAAATTCATGCCCTGCCACAAATTTTGTTAGCCACTAAAGGGCAACTGGACTCTTGCTTCTATCCACTAAAGTTTCCCCCACCCCCATCTGTTAGAAATGGAAAGGGGGATCTCTCCAAGTGCCATGCGTGAGACTCCTCCACATATATATATATGGAGATCTCTCTCTCTCTCCCCCCCCTCCCCCCATCTCTGAAGAAGTGTACACAGGCACACCAAAGCTTATACCTGAAATAAATAAAACCTTGTTGGTCTTCTTTAAGGTGCTACAGGACTCTCTCTCTCTCTCTCTCTCTGGCTCTGTGAGAGTAAGAAAGGGGTCGGAGCTCTCAAAAGCCCAGGCCTTCTTCTCTCTTTCTGGCTCTTTCCTTCCTCCTCCCTCCCCAGAGAGGGAGGAGGCCTCAGCCAGTAGAGAGAAGGGAGGCTTGGCTTTCTTCCTCTCCTCTGCAAAGCAGGAAAAAGAGACTAGGCAAAAGCTAGGTCTGATGCTGGAAACAGGAAGGAGGAACAGGAAGTAGGAAGCAGCAGAGAGCTAGTTGCTCACGGGCTACATGTTTGACACTCCAGAGGTGAGTAGCAAATTGATCACAGCAGACTGACATGTGGCCAGAGTCAGATTCCCTGGGGCTGTGATGAAAAAGCCACTGGACCACACAAACAGCTCCACTGGGTGTTTACCTGCAGACACAATGCTCGTAGAGAACCTTATTGAAACAAGGTTCAGTGTCTGCTGCTTTTAGCTCCCTTAGAGGCACGTGGCTGGTCACTATTGAAACACAGTGCTGGACAAAGTGGACCAATGTCTGAGTTAACAGGGTAGTTCTTCTAAGATAAAATGTTATGCATCTGTAAAATCTTTATGCCAATTCATCCTGCTGCATTTACGATGAAATAAGTAGGCTGCTTGAAACAGCTGATAGAACTTCTCAGTTAACACACAGTATTTTAGTTAACCTACGTCACTCTTTTTGTTATAGGCACACATCAAAATTGAAAATGAAGATGATATCCAGTTTGTGTCGGTGAATCACAAAGAAGTAGATGAGGATGTACCCTTTGTGCCTGTTAGAAGTAAGTTTATATAGTTATTTGTGTAGACATCTAACTTGAGATTCTTATTTCCACATGTTTATTATATTTTATTTTATTGGATTTATATCTCACCCTGCCCACACAGCAGGCTCAGGGTGGGTTTCATCAAACATAATAAACAACATACAGCATACAAAGAATTAAAAACAGTTAAATCCCCAATAAAATACAACAACATTCCTCTGCAACTTTTGTTGTTCAGTCGCACAGTCGAGTCCGGCTCTTTGCGACCCCATGGACCACATCATGCCAGGCCGTCCTGTCTTCCATCGTCCTCCGGAGTCTGCTAAATTTCATGTTCGTTGTATCGATAACACTGTCTATCTCATTCTTTGCCGTCCCCTTCTTTTACCTGCAATCATTCCCAACATCAGGGTCTTCTCCAGTGAGTGCTTCCTTCTCATTTGGTGGCCAAAGTACAAGTCATAGTTAAAGCCTACATGGCAGCTGTATACACTCTGGTCACCAAGAAAATATGTGCAAAAGTGGTGCCTGAAGCCCAAAATCTGTAGTTTCGTCATCTGTTTCAGTTTTGTCTGATGGTTGGCATCTTACCGTGATTTTTTTTTTTAGCCCCCCAAAGGGGAATTTTTTATTTGCATTTCTATAAAACTACAACAGAAATTGGGAAGGGAAGATTCTACAATCTAAAGGAAAAAGTAAAAAGAACCTAACTAAAAACCCAAGTGTGGAGGTTTTACAATGCTTAAAACATAGTTATTACACTTATTCAGTTACTTTCAAGCATGAAGAGTGCCCGCCAATCATCACTTCTGTTATCAAAACCAGCTTATCAGACTAGACAGAAAGTAATTCTAATCTTTAAAACCAATGTTCCCTCAGTAAGAACATTACAACAATTTATCTTCTTCCGTCTTAGATGTATCTTCTTTTTCCAATTAACTTTTAGCTTTTATCAGTCCGGATCTGTCCATTCATGATATAAACCAAGTTCCATTTCCAGGGACATCTTCGCTTCCTTAAACGTCTTGAATCAAAAGAGTCTTTCCTTTTGTTGCATTAAAAACACGCTGATTGGAGAATCCAACCTTTCTCTTAGCAAGCAGATCTTGTGAAGTTGGGGTAGCGAGCCCTTTACTCCCAAAAAAAAAAGCTTTTCGATCCGCTTGCCAATCAATCCGCAAGTAAACTAAACTTTAGAATCTCCTTACCATTCATAAGTCTCTGATCAAAGCACGCACCAAATACTGTCCCTTTAAAAATATAGCCGCTTTTTTAGTACAGATCCAGGTCGCTAGGCCACTTTAGCCACCAGAGGGACCGCGATTCACTTTAAGGACAGAATCTATGGTTAGGTCACATGACCTAGCTTTCCACTGTTCTCCTTCCTGGAAAAAACATTGATCCCACCTCCCTCTTCACCTTTCATCGCCATCTTTTGGAGATGTTTACATTAGCCGAGAAAAAATGCCAAAGTCTCTAAGGTCTGTTTAAACGCTCAACTTTCTTTCAGAAAAAACTCTCTGCTACAGTCCATCACCGCAATTTGATCAGTCCCTCCAATCATGCTTTCACATGCACTTAGAACGTCGGGAGATAGGGCGTCCCCTTCCTCCGTTTATAGTAGGGGGACTTCACATCTAGGCTTTGGTGTCTCGTTTCAACGAAAACTCACTCATCAGTCCTTGAATCGATCCACCAGGTCTTGAGACAGCCCCTGGGATCACGCAAGGCAGAAAAAATCGCTAAACCTCCAAGCGCTTGTCCCAGTGGTCACTTCGAATCCAATACTGGGAATCACGACAGGATCTTCGGGGCAGAGAGTAGCCCCCCTGTACTGGCTGACCTATGGGCTCCATGGCAGACGTCTCTCAGAGGAGCCATCGTTGAAGCGCCGAAGACCGGAAGTTCCATCTTACCTTGATTATTGTTTTCATCCTTTTTGGAATCTGTTTCAATTAGACTAATTTTGCCTGTGGCCACAAGCAATAAACATTTACTAATACTACAATCCCCTCCCCTTCATGGCTGAAGTTTTTGACTGTTTTGGATATACATTGAAATATTTTGAGTTGGCATGTAAATTGTTGCCATAGCATGGAATCCAGAGTCTATTCTGTGTTAAGATAATAACTATTTAAAATTAAGTGAAAGTAAGTGTCTTGCATCCTAAGCAAAGTTACATCTTTATAAGCCTATGAGTTTAGAAGAGTGTAATTCTGCTTAGGGTGGCACTGAAAATTGCCTATCCTGCCCCTGCATCTCCCATCCCCTCTTCCTGACCTAGGATCTGTAGTAACATTGTGTGCCATTTTTGGTTGCTACAACTTAAAATGGCACATTATTTTTTTCTTCTACTTTTTACTGCTTGGAGATTTTAACATACACTTACATTTTTCCTTGAGTTTTTTTCATTGAGGAGGTCCTCAATAGTGATTAACTATGATAGTAAATAGAATTTCCAGATTAAAAGAAAATATGCCTCAAGAGTACCAACTGCTGAGGAGGGGAAACAACTCGCCCCATTCCACTTGTAGACTTCCTGGAAGCATCTGTCTGAACCCTGTTGGCAGCAGGATGTTGGACTTGATGGATCCTTGATCTGAACTAGTAGAGCTTTTGTTGCATTCTTATGGTACCACAGTACCATATCTGAATGAATGCTTATCATGTTTGGCTTTTATTTGTTGTTCAGTTGCACAGTAGAGTCCAACTCTTTGTGACCCCATGGACCACATCATGCCAGGCCCTCCTGTCTTCCACCGTCCTCCGGAGTTTGCTCAACTTCATGTTCGTTGCATCAATAACACTATCTAACCATCTCATCCTTTGCTGTCCCCTTCTTCTTTAACCTTCAGTCTTTCCCAGCATCAGGGTCTTTTCCAGTGAATGCTCCCTTCTCATTTGGTGGCCAAAGTATCTAAGCTTCATCTTCAGTATCTGGCCTTCCAGGGAACAGTCAGGGTTGATTTCTTTTAGGATTGACTGATTTGATCTCCTTGCAGTCCAAGGAACTCTCAAGAGTCTTCTCCAGCACCATAATTCGAAAGCACCTCTTCTTCTGCTCTTGGCCTTCCTTATCGTCCAACTCCTGCAGCCATACATTTCTACTGGGAATACCATTGCTTTGACCATACGGACTTTTGTTGGCAGGGTGATGTCTCTACTTTTTATTATGCTGTCTAGGTTTGTCATAGCTTTCCTCCCAAGGAGCAGGTGTCTTTTAATTTCATGGCTGCTGTCACCATCTGCAGTGATCTTGGATCCCAGGAACGTGAAGTTTGTCACTGCTTCCATGACTTCCCCTTCTATTTGCCAAGGAGTGATGGGGCCGGATGCCATGATCTTAGTTTTTTTGATGTTGAGTTTCAAGCCAACTTTTGCCCTCTCCTCTTTCATCCTGAGCAAGAGACTCTTCAGGTCCTCTTCACTTTCTCCCATTAGAGTGGTATCATCTGCGTATCCGAGGTTGTTGATTTTTTCCCAGCAATCTTAATTCTGGTTCATGATTCATCCAGGCCAGCATTTCGCAAGATGTACACTGCACATAAATAAGCAGGGTGACAATATACATCCTTGTCGTACTCCTTTTTCTACGCTAAACCAATCGGTTGTTCCATATCCAGTTCTACCTGTTGCTTCTTGACCCTTATACAGGTTTCTCAGGAGATA